TGTAAACCGGTTTGTGGTAAGTTTTAGCTCTTTATAGCACCACAGTGACCAGAAAACCACTCGACTAGCTTCAAAACGCGTTTTTCGGCAAAATCTCCAGGAGCGAATGGGTTAAGTAAAGGTTAATTCTTGTCTTTTAAGAAGCAATAGCTTTTAAAACATGCAGAATTAAGTCGTCAGAGTTAGACTGTCTCATTGAGTAGAATTGCACATGAAAACCTCATGAATTATGATGATGCAACCACCTACCACAATGATAAAAAATCCTGGACGTAACTATTCGGTATTAAATGAGCCAGTGTCACGTGTTCTTAAGAAACTCTGAAGAAACCTTCGAGTTTTCCCTCTAATCAACATTTGGTGAGTTGATATTTTTTGTACTTTAACAATTTGTTTAACTTACTCCAGATGTATCAAGGAAAGACAGGAAAGTGAATATTAAGCATGAGGATCGACTCAGCTGGGCGTTTTCATTCATGTACAGCAATACCCAATTTCGCACAAAAAACCAGTTGTATAGCTACCACTGGAGCTGAAGCGTTCAAAATAGCTCATGCACATTGAATGTGCCTGTGTTTGTGTATAGTCAATAAACTGCATTGTTGTGTAATATTACCTGGGAACAATGAAGGTGAAATTAATATCTGAATTTCATATAATTTATTGGAACCATGCACAGAATGAAGAAATAAAGATCATCGCATTTAAAGATGCAACTTATGCAGTGGCAAAAACAATGCAAAAAATAGTTAGGCTTCCAGACACAGCGTATATTAATTAGGAACCAATATAATTATTATGTGATAATGACCAGCCCCCAGTTGGCTTTCCAGCTCAGTAAATGGTTAGAGCACTGCACTGGTATCCCAAGGTAAGTGTTTTAATGCCTGTAAGCTTGATTTTTTCAGGCTTTCTTTAGTGCACAACTGCATTGAGTGTTGGCAAAGTTAACCAGCTCAATCCACTAAACTACTCTTTTCTGATGCATGAATTTTAATCTTGGTTTAATTGTAGAATGGATAAAGATCATTCTAAGAAGAAAGGAGATACTCTTGGGAACCAGATAAAGAGAAGTGCTGCAGGGCTGTTCGAGAAATACAAATCAAAAAACCAAGGTAAAGAAATCAGGATCTTTAAATAAATGTAACTGTGAAGAAAGTGCTTCCTTTTTAAAGACAGCTGTAAACTGTTAGAGTTTCTCGTCTTCTGGCCATTAAGGACAATAAATCATAATAAGCATCATACATGTATATAAAAATTCTGTTATAAAAACTGTTAATTCATAAAGAGCAGGGGACGTGGTCCCCGCAACTCAAGTTTCTGCTGTTTAAAATGTCGCAAATAAACACTAAACTTGAACTTGAGTTTGTTTCATGAGTTCAACCATGGTATGGTATGTCATGTACACATTTTGTCATTGGCATAAAGATGCCAGTACTCATTGTTAAATTATATTAAAATTACAAATAGTTGAGGAAAATTCAAAAAATGTTTTTTTTTTTTGAAGATTTATTAAAAGATCCATGAATCTCCTACAATTAGACAAAAAGCATTTGATCCAGTTCATTGTCTCTAATTAAGCAATTCATTGCACAACATAAGTTGTGAACAAGACACTGGTGAAATGACTAATTATTTGTTGTCGTATTTCAAGGTCCATCTGGAAGGGTTGAGCAAGCTGGCCCAAGCACAAGTTTTGTTACAGGTGAATAAGAGATTACTAATTCATTGTATGTGAGAATCACAACAGCTCCCTGACAGTAACCAGCTTTTAAACTTTGTCTTCTATCTATTAATTCTTCAAGGTTCACAGCAGTGAAATATCTCCTCCTCTTTTGGTACCTCTAACAGAGCTTTAAGGCGGAATCCACCAGGACATTGAGTGATTTTATTTTCAGTGCACAAAAACCTTGTACCAGAATAATTTAAAGAATATTACATTCTTTTTTTACATTTTCATAGGCCAAAGATGTAATAAATCATCTGTAATTACACCAAAGAAAATTTCCTATGGAAGTCTGAGAAAGTGAATGTCAAATTTCACAAGAATTGTCATTATACCTGCCAGGTAAAATTTCTAAAAATTGCATGTGTAAGATGTAATTTTGTGAAATTTGGCATTCATTTTCTCAGGCTCCCATGAGAAATTTTTTTTGGTGTTACTACAGATGATTTATCACATCATGATCTTTAGCCCTTGAAAAATGTAAAAAAGAATGCAATATGCTTTAAATTATTCTGGTACAAGATTTTTGTTCTTTGAAAATCAAAATTACTCAATGTTCTGGTGGATTTCATCTTAAAATGAATTTCTTCCATGCTGACGAAGCAAGATTGCGGTACCTTAATCTAGGGATACTTTTGAGTGTTTTACTTGAGTAGCACCACAGTTGTTTAACAGGGTAGTATCCTCTTCTTCCCCCCCCCCAACCACGCCCTGATGACACTAGCAACCAACTTTACAGGGCTGTCAGTAAGGGCCGGGAGGCGTGGATTTCCCCTGGCTACTATGAGCATGCATGACCCCTGGTTACTTTCATAGGTAATAAAACAAAAAATAGGACCAAAAGAATTTCCACGATGTTCTATTCCCTGCTCTGAAACTGAAAACCATAGTGACAGCCTTGAACCCTAACCCATAAAAGAAGCTCTCTGCTCTGCTGGCTTTATTTTCTGGTTTTAGATCGTTCTAGAACTCTACCCTCTGATTGGTTGATAGCTATGGTTTAGAAAGGCCCAGTAAATATTTTTGGGGCTTATTTTCTGTTTTGAAAATGTTTTTGAACTGCAGCTGCTAACTAGATGCCTCTCAGAATCAACTTAATGTGTAGCAAAAATCCTGCATACCCAAGTTTAAAACATAAACTGCGACCAGACATCATTTAGTGAATTAAAATGTCAGTATCACCCACAATTAAGTAAAAGCTAAGATGTAAGCTTTCAGTCCCAAGACAAGCTGCTCAGTGCTTTTTGTTATTGAAACTTTATTATTCAAACCCAGAATCTAAAATGTGAGTAGCAAAAAAACTGACAGATTGATAAACATCCCCAAATACTTTTGAATAACTGTTTTTTAAATGTGTCAGTTCAATTTTTATTCTATTTTGTTTAACTCACAGACCCATCAGCAAGGGAACAGCCCTCTTGCTCTACGGCCAATAAGAAGGAGTTACCAGGTACTATTATATCCAATAAAGCAGAAATGGTATCAGAAATACAGTAGATTTGAAACGCTTATTTCAATATAAATGGCTTAATTTATTGTTTGTTATATATTTGCAATATACAAGAGGATCTTTATTGTAGCAATTGTTTATTTTTATTTTAAAAGTACATGTAAGTAGCAAAGAAGAAGTATGATGTTGGGGCATACTTCAAGAGTCAAATCCTTTCTCTCATTCAATCTTTTTCCTAGAATTTTGCTAATAATAATAATTATTATTCTTAGCACTCAACCACAAACGTCACTAACGGCTTTGGACAGTTAACCCTCTATTGGTGTCTCCTCCCTGAACCTCTCTTTATGGGATAACGCCCCTTTACACTTCCTTTACTGATGCAGTCTTCAAAGACATTTACATCTACATGTTACTCGGCCAAGGCTGCCCATCCCGCCATATTCATAATTGTAATTGTAATAAGAAATAAATAATTCTTTATTTAGCTCACAGTGAAATGACATTTTTAACTTAACATAACTGAAATTTGTCCTAGTTTATTACTTTGTAATATAAGAGAAATAATAAGTGCAAGCTGGGAAGCTAAATTAACTGTTAGATTTTCTAGTTAGCTCCCCGTCCAATTAAAGTTAGTGTGTAAGTAGGTGAAAAAGAAGAAAATAGAATAGATAAATGAATTAATAAATTAAAATAAATTAATAAAGAGCATTCCTTCTATGTTTGATCATAGTATTTATATTCCTACACTATACTCTGGTGTGTTAGAGCCCTGGTGTCAGCGTGTATTGTTACTTACATTTCTGTTGGTGTATCATGAGTTGAGGATAATTTGTTTTTAAGTATGGAAATTTTACTTATATATTTGGTGATCTGGTCCCTTTTTACAAATGAGGGCCTATATTTTGTGCGTCAACCACCTTCCCTTAACTTTTCACGCCTAATAACATCTTGGTTAATTTGGAGCTGCCCAGTAAACTATTATATGTGTTTGAATGTCTTAGGGGAACTTTGGTCATCTACATTAAATTTTTAAGACCTGACCACCATATGTTTCAATAAGATATTACAACTTGACTTGCATCTTCTAATCAGCAAAAAATGCATTTCTTGGTGGTAAATTAAAGTAGCACTCTGTGTTCTCCAGCAACTCAAAGAGCACAAACAAAAATTACTTTTTGTTAATTTCAAGCCCTGAACACTCTTGCATTCCTACATGCATTTGCATTTCACATGTGTGAACCAGGTATTAAAATACAAACACAAGGTTAAAAGTTTTTGTCCACCATGTTGGGATGCAGGATACTCAAACGCAAGTGCATATCTCACTGCACTTGCATTTACATTGGTATCACTTGTACAGTTTGAACCAGCCTTTCATTTTCATGAGAGTTATCATGTTCAATTAAAGATGAAATTACAAAGCAAAAACTGCTGTCATGAGACTAAAGGGTTGGCTATTTTTTAGCTCTATAATAAAGACAGTTACAAGAGATTTAACTGCACATATCTGTGAGAGAAAGAGATTTTTGTTTAAATAATCTTTTCTTTCTAACATTGTACAACTTTAATTTAATTCGTGATCTTACTTTTTGATATTTTAGGGAAATTGTTAATCAAGACACCATGGCACAGCACCAAGAACTTAATAGGAAAAGGAGGTAGTGCTCATAAGAATATGGCAGATGTTCCACCTGCACTCACCCTAGAACTTCCCAAGAAAAGTGATCTTCCTAACACATTTAAACCTTGGAGTGAAGTCCATCTTCCAATTGACATTCTTTTGTTGACAGTTGATGACTGCGAGTTCTTAGCCTGTTTTGCATGCCTGAAAATGCCTTTAAAAGCTACCTCAAGAACCTTGGATATGTGTACTTTGGGAACATGGGTGAAAATGGAGATGTGCCCCTAAAAGTTGCTTTGATAAAATGTTCTGAAGGTTCTTCTGCTCCAGATGGCTCGCTGGTCACTGTTAAGAATGCCGTAGTGGAACTGAGACCCAAAGCTGTTTTCTCTGTTGGCTGCTGCGGTGGGTTGAACCCAGAAGTCACCAAGTTACAGCTAGGTGACGTGGTTGTTTCCTCTAGGCTTTTAACTGAAGCCTTCAAAACCCCAGTGAGTAGAGATATCTTGCACCTTGTCAGGCATGCAGATTATGGCTGGATTCCTCCATTAAAATGTCCAGAAGATCATAAAGTTCAGGTCTGCTGTGATGGGGAGATTTTAAGTGGCGTAAACCCAGTCAGTGCTAAACAGCAAAACATGTCTTATTTTACTCAAGCTACTGCAGTTGAAATCGGTGGTGAAGGTAAGACATTAAGAAAAAGAAGTCATTTATCAGGGAATAAATTTTATTCCGTGATAAATGACTTCTTTTCTCTCTTGTTTTGTTTTCTTACAAGAGGCATGGTGGCCTAGTGGTGAATATTGCAAACTTCACAGGGGTAAAGCATGACCATTTTGACAAGTACGCACACAGGTCTATATGTTTTTAAAAACGTCGTACAAAGTAACGTTTTTGCTTTCCTTTAATACATAATTGGCAGTTTACAGACTTGTTTACAATAGAACATGATATCAAAAAAAGCTTTTAAAACGTTCTTTTTTGAGCTGGTACAGGAATGATGTTAACCAGAAGAAGGCGAGGCGCCTTTTTTGTGGGCAGAAATTTTATAATCAAGTTTAAAAGCATCAGTTCGAAGAATTGTGGCAATGTGCATGTTCATGTAAATTTTCCGCATGCTTTCCTTTGCTGACTTTTATGTTTTTCTCTTTAATTCCCTTATTTCGATCATGAGCACGGGAAAGGAACACACAATAAGTGATAGTCAGCATTTATATATTTTCAGTTGTACTGAATATCTGTAAAGTTTGTCATTGAAAACATACTACATATGTTCGCTAGGAGTGAACTTCCTGCAAAATTCTTCTTGATACTGGGCCAAGTAGAAAATGTGTACCTAATAGTTTGATTCAGCTTACGTAGATTATTGTCGACATGGTGTGGTCCATGATTTTCCAGTTGAGGGACATTAAAGTAGTCTTTGATGATAGACTTTTTCGACTTTTATGGAGAGGGAGAGAAACTAAAAAATAAAAACCTTTTGAATGCAAAAACGTTCCAGATAAATCTTAAAAGGAATGACGATCAGTCAGGGTCAATTCTTTTCCAATTTTCATGAATACGCGGCGTATTGTACGGGATCTTGGTCCTCTTCTCAAACGGTTGTATTTTATGTGCAAAAACAATGCTGACTAACAGCGAGACAGGCAGCAACAAATCTGCACAATTTAAAGTCAAGTCACAACACTACAAATGTCTTTACTTATAACAGAAAATCTTCTCTTAATTTCTCAAGTACACACGTTTGCATTTGCGTTAAGCACGCTACGCCCCTGCTTCAGATCTGGAGGTCCAGGTTTGGGGTCTTGCTGTTGTGCTGTTTTTATTATTGTAAAACAAACTTTGCTTCACTTTGTCCCTGACCTTCACCAATTAAGGTGTATAAAGAGGCGCTGGTTATTACTTCTTGTGATCCTGTTTTCAGTCTGATCCGTTGAGATCAGTTCTAGGTTTGGACAATGATGTTTACAGCTACATGTATTTCAAGAAAGGTTGGCGGAGAAAATGTGCACGTTTGACAGTCCTGAAAGGTAGCACGGGATATGATCAAATTATACACTGTTCCTGACAACAGTAGCTGTTGAACCTACTTTTGTTGCTTTCCTTTAGCACTCGCAAACATGTTATGTCCATGGCCTCTTGTGCCATTCTTTCAAATTTCTTTGAAGAACATGTACAGTGAACTCAAAGCCACCCACATATACCTTTCGGGATTGTCGCGTGCACTTTTTGTGACAATCTTTCTCAAAATAGCTGATATTTATTAAATTTGCTGCATTTTTCTATACTGAATTATGCATAAACGATTGAATGGAGGACAGCATTTTAAGTAATGTTTTCCTTTGGATAAAATACAGAAGGAAAGTTAAATTCTGCTAAGATCTTATTTATTTGTCCTGTTTTGTATTATTTTATTTATGCTGTTTATAGCTGCCTTTTAAAATCACTATTATCATTTTCTGCCTGCCCATTTGCAGGGTAAATAATTCTGTTTATGTTGTCACATCTTGATCAGCCCTGGCTGTGACGCTTACTTAAGGGGATCTATTTGCATAAATTGATCTCTCTTTGTATTGAAATTTAATTTTTAATCATTTTTTGTTGTTTTTTCCAGGCCTGTTTGCTGCAGCACATGATCTTAAGATTGAATGGGTGATTGTAAAAGGTATTTCTCACTTTGCCGATGGTAACAACCCTGCTGAAAAGTCTTGGGAGAGTCATGCATGCATAATGGCGGCTTCTCTTGTGTCCAACATGTTGAAGGATTCATTTGTGTTTCAGCAATGGCCTCATTATGAAGGTAGGTGACATGTCCTTTAATTAAACCATATCATAATTAATTTTTCGTGCAGTAGAAGTGTTTATGGTTAAGTACTGAGGTTGATTTAAAAATACTCAGCCTTAACTTTCAAACCTAATTATTAATCACAATAAACTTGAAAAAGGATAGAGTTCAACGTTTTCTTTGTCAACTCACAACTGTTGGAAACTATAACATAGGTAAAAGAAAAATTATGGGAAAAATGTGAAGAAATTGGTCGGGAGGACAGGAGGGAGATGTTTCCTGATAAAATCGACCGGCTGCTCATCATACTATCTTAGGCAGTAAGATTTCTGGGTTGCTACTCGGCAAGTGCATACTTAGCGACCTTAAGTCTAAACTGACCCTTGTTTAATTAGAACTTCAGTGGTATCTGTTAGGGGCCTGTAAGGTTGGGTGGGAATTATTTTGTTACTCAAGTAATTTTTGGTACCTCTTAGGTATTAAAATTAATTTCCTACACGCCCACAAAGCTAGATTCTGTTACTTTCTAGGGGTTCTTTTGGATATTTTTTTCTACAAAACCCCTGTTTTTGTTTTGTTTCGTTTTGTGTGTTTGTTTGTTTCTGTTGTTGTTGTTTTTTAAGCTCCCCATTTATATCTATAGAGGGGTATCTCCTCCTTTTGGTATCTCCCAGGGGTTAAAGTGAATTTCTGCCATGCCGACAAAGTAAGATTCTGCTACCCTCTAGGGATGATTTTTATTATTATTTATTTATTTTATTTTTTTTTTTACAAGCACCCCTGTTATCTTTAATTTCTTTTTTTGTAAAGCAGTTCTGTTATTTTTAAAGGGGAGTATCTCCTTCTCCTTTTGGTACCTTTTGTAGAGCTTAAAATGAATTTCTTCCATGCCCACAAAGCAAGATTCTTGTACCTTCTAGGGATACTTTTTGAATTTTTTATTTCAGTAGCACCTCAGTCGTTTAATAGGGTAGTATCTCCTTCTCCCCCACCTTCCCCCATCATGCCCTGAGGACACTAGCAACCAACTTTAGAGGGATTTCACTCAGGGCCAACAGGCATGGATCTCCCCTGGCTGCTATGAGCATGACCCTTGGTTACTTTCATAGGAAATAATACGAAAATAGGACCGAAAGAATTTCCAGGATGTTCTATTCCCTACTTGGCAACTTGAAACCATAGTGGCAGCCCTGAACCCTAACCAGTAAGCTCTCTGCATTGCAGGTTTTATTTTCTGATTTGAGATCATTCTAGAACTCTACCCTTTGGTTGGTTGATAGCTATGGTTTTGGAAGGGCCGGGAAACTTATCGTAAAATTCCAAAAATAAGCCCCTCCATGTATAAGCCCCTCCAAATATAAGCCCTCCAAACCAGTAACGCAAAAAACCCTCCGTTAAATCGCCCCTCCAAATATAAGCCCCCCGGGGGCTTGTACTTGGAAAATTGCCCTCAAATACAAATTAAAACAAAGCAAAAATGGTAAATTTACTTCAAACTTTAAGTCTAGCCCAATCAATTTTGAAACGCAAATTTCCCTCCGTAGATAAGCCCCTCCAAAAATAAGCCCCTCAAAAAGGGCCTTTGAAAAATATAAGCCCTGGGGCTTATTTTCGGAATTTTACAGTATTTGGGGACTTATTTTCTGTTTTGAAAATGTTTTTGAGCTTCAACTGTTCACTAGATACCTTTCAGAATCAACTCAGTGTGCAGCAGAAATTCTGCATAACCAAGTTTAAAACATAAATTTATTGTTTAAAATTGTGCACACTGCAACCAGACATCATTTAGTGAATTAAAATGTCAGTATCACCCACAATTAAGTAAAAGCTAAGATGTAAGCTTTCAGTCCCAAGACAAGCTGCTCAGTGCTTTTTGTTATTGAAACTATTCAGACCCAGAACCTAAAATGTGAGTAGTAAAAAAACTGACAGATTTATAAACATTTTCCCCAAATACTTTAGAATAACTGTTGTTTTAAATGTTTCACTTCAATTTCTATTTTATTTTGTTTAACTCACAGACCCATCAGCAGGGAAACAGCCCTCTAGCTCTATGGCCAATAAGAAGGAGTTACCAGGTACTATTATATCCAATAAAGCTGAAATGGTACCAGACATAGAGTAGATAAAAACACTTATTTTAATATGAAAATGACTTTTATTGTTTGTTGTATTGTAATAGAAAATGATCTTTATTGTCGCAGTTGTTTATATTTATTTCAGAAATAAGTAGCAAAGAAGAAGTATGATGTGATACTTCAAGCGTCAAATTCTTCTTCTCATTCAATTTTTCTGTTATAATTTTGCCAAGGTATTTTTAATCTGCGTTAATCCTTGAGGCCAGTTATAAAAAATAAGAATTATTTTTAGCACTCGACCACAAACTTCACTAACAGCTTTGGAGAGGTAGCCCTCTACTGGTGTCTCCTCCCTGAACCTCTCTTTGTGGGGTAACGCCCCTTTACACTTGCTTTACTGATGCAGTCTTCAAAGATATTTACATATAAATGTTACTCGGACAAGGTTGCGCATCCCGCCATATTCATAATTTGTAATTGCAATAATGAATAATTCTTTATTTAGCTCATGGTGAAATTACATTTTTAACTTTTTTCTAACTGAAATTTGTGCCAGGTTATAACTTTATAATATAAGAGAAATAATAAATGCGAGCTTGGAAGCTAAATAAACTGTTAGATTTTCTAGTTAGCTCCCCATCCATATTAAAGTCAGTGTGTAAGCAGGTGAAAAAGAAGAAAATAGAAGAGATAAATGAATTAATAAATTAAAATAAATTAATAAATTAAATTAATAAAGTGCGTTCCTTCTACGTTTGACCATAGTGTTTATATTGCTACACTATATTATGGTGTTTTAGAGCCCTGATATATACATACACTGTTACTTGCATTTCTGTTGGTGTATAATGAGTTGAGGATAATTTGTTTTTAAATATGGAAATTTTATTGATATTTGGTGATCTGATCAGTTTATATGAATAAGGGCCTATATTTTTGTGCATCAACTACCTCCCTTTAACTTTCCTCGCCTATTAAGATATCAAGTCGTTAATGAACAATTCTTTAAAAAAAAAGGAACGTAAAATTGTCTTTAACAGATTCTCTCTGCCTCGAGGAGTTCCAGAAACAGCTGCGATCAATTTATGAAGACAACAGCACAGTCAAAATCGTTCCGTGGGACCAAAGCTCTGCCGTTCACATTGACAAAGTTTACACCCAGTTGTCTTGGCTCATGGATTTGAAGGATCCCAGCGGAGTAACACAGAAGGAGCTTGAACACTATACCGACATTTTTGACGGCGGAAGACTTCATCATTTGCCTAAGCGTATTTTGGTTCACGGACGACCGGGTATCGGCAAGACCGTTTTTACGCAGAAAGCTACATTCGACTGGTCCCAGCACAGATTTAAAGGAAAGTTAGGAAGATTTGATCTCGTACTTTTGGTCAAATTACGCGATGTTTGTAACCTCAACGATCTCCCAGCCATTCTGAGGGATGCTAATCTTCTTGCGAGTGATGGCCCAATTTCCACTGACAACCTGTACGATTACGTTCGTCACCACCAACAAAAAGTGTTGCTTATTTTGGACGGCTACGATGAGTATGTACACAGCGCAGCAAGCCAATCACCTGTTCTTCAAATCTGGGAGAAAAAGCAGTTGAGGAATTGTTGTGTTATTATAACGTCTAGAGACATGAAAGGAGAGGGATTGAAAAGTTCCAGCGATGCTCAATTTGAGATCGACGGTTTTGACCGTGAGCGACAAGAAGAGTTCGCCCGTAGATTCTTGAAAGATGATCAAGATATTGAAGAGTTTTTTGAATACTTGAAGCAAAAAGACCTGGAAGATGTAGCAAAAATACCTATTTTGCTTTTAATGTTGTTGTTGGTTTGGAAAGAAAAGGATCGTGAAGGACTACCTTCATCACGGGTGATGGTGTACTTCAAGTTTCTACAGACTATGTTTAATCATATGTCTGAAAAACAAAAAACAGAGGCGGAAGAAGTTGAGAACCACATTCAAGAACTCTGTAAAGTAGGAGAACTAGCATTTGACTCGCTTCTACAAGATTTCCTTTACTTTCCTCTCAGTAAACTGCCGGATCGCGTTTTGACTGAGAAACTGATCGAGGCCGGGTTGTTTCAGCTGCTAAACGTGTCCGCTCTTAACCCCAGCAAAGACGTTCACTTCATTCACAAATCCATGCAGGAGTTTGTGGCTTCTTTATTTCTAAAAGAAGAACTGTTATCTCAAGAAAGTAAAAACAATTCTCTTTTCAAAGTGGACTCAATTGAAAAGATCTTCAAGTTGAATGAAGTTTTTAAATTTGTTGCTGAAATGTCAGAAGAAGCCGCGCGCGAGATCTTGATTCATCTGTTGGAAATGGCGGCGAAGGAAGACGGAGAGTACAGCTTCGACAACGAAGCACCGTCAGTCAGCGATTTGTCAGAAACCCCCAAAAATCTTTTAACTATATGTACACAGTTATTCTTCTACTGCTCAGCAGACACGAGAACAGAACTTTTCCCCACTTTTCTTTCTAATCTAGGAGGTGTTTTTTTAATAAATCCTGACCAGCTGAATATTGCAGCAAAGGAAAATTTTGTTAAAACTACCGCTTCACTTATGTACATATTTTTCTCTTATAGCGACCAGTATACAGAGCAAAGTTATAATAATTTAATAACTTTAGCAAAGCAATTAAACGCTGTTATAGTTAGTAGAACAGGAGAACAGAAAGCATCAGAATTTTTGAATGTATTTCCATGGCGTAGTGTTGACGAGTTTTTTTTAATGAAAGAAGAAAACAACACTCACCTTTATTTTACTCAAATTGTAAAAAAAACACATCCTGACATTCCTTTTCCTTTTAAAATGGTAAAGACGTTAGTTAGTTTAGAAGAGACAACAAAGAAGACAAACATGAATGGTGATGAGTCAAGTGAAGAGAGCAGCAGCAGCTGTTGTTCAAAGCGTCATGGTGTCTCCAGGGTTCGGAGGATTCATGCTGTTGATGTGAACAGGTCAGATGTGGAACAGCTGATTGAGATCATGCCGTTTGTGACCGCTCCACACGTGATACTGGTTTGGGGTAAATACGGTGAAGTGTTGGATGCTGAGGTAACAGAGTCTCTACTGAGGAGCATCCCAACAACACACAAACTGAAGATATTAACACTCGAGCGTATCAATGTAACATCATCACCTGCTGTGGAGTTCATCAGCAGAGTATTCAAACAAGGTCTTCCAAACTTGAAGTTGCTCAACATGTCATACAATCCTCTTCTGGGTGCAGGAGTCGACAGCTTGATAAAACATCTCAGCTGCGCTCCTCACCTGAAGTATCTGTACCTTCATGAAGTGAAGATGACTCCACAGCAGGTGATGAATCTCACATCAGCTGTACAGCAGCACGGAAACAACACTACACTGATGTCATCCTACCACGTAAGTTTTCCAATTTTATCGCAATTTGTTTCTTTATTCTTTGTTTACAGTTTATTTCTACTCAGCTCTTGCCTTTCGTCATTTTCCTTTCTTTGTCATTTTTATACTCGACAAAACAAGAGATTTGCTTTTGAAATCAAATCACAAACTTTAGCAGATTCAAAGTATCATTTCAAATTCATTTTTTTCAACTGATTAAACTAACTCCATAAAATGTTTTAACTGAGAACGTTAAAAAGAAGTAACTTTAGCTGATATTAAAACATGGAGTTGAACACAAGAAGAGAAATTTCGTGTCTTCAAGCAGCCATAAGATGATATTATTGGGTGAAAACAAGAACTTTCAGCAAAACAAAAGCAAATAATTTCCACAGTATTAATTTCTGAATCAATTTTAATTCATACCTTTTCATAAAGAAACAAACAACAATCATAAAAGCAAATGAAAGATGTTCAGTTCATGTTCAATTCAAACAAATAAGCAAAGAGTAAACACATTGAACTCACAGTTTCACATTTATCGTCCAGGGCTCCTATAAAATCAGTTTAAGTCAAGTGAAGTTCCTTTGAAAGTCCAGAAAACAGACAAGTCTTTTTTATAGCTCTTCTTTTGTTAGTTCTTGAGCGTTTCTTGGTAAATACTGCTCCTTGCAGTTCGGTGAAGCGTTGGTTTTTGAAGTAACAACCCGCACAAAAAAATTCTATCTCTGAAACAACGGTTGAAAGCAACACCAAAAAAATTTCCTCACAGGTAAACACTTCGCTGTTCTCCACTGTATAGCATAAGTGTCCATTGCATGATTTTCATCGCGTAAATCATGCGTAAATAGCATAAGTTTGTTTTCAACCTTCCAAGAACACTCGCCATACAAATCAAATCCTGCGGAGCTTTGGACTTTCGTAAAATATCCTTATAAATGATGTTTCCTTTAGCTTCGAACAACTCCTTAGCATATTCCTGAGTAAAAAGAGATAAATCCCTGTCTTTTGCCGGTATCATTTCCTTGATGTTTTCTTATTAAATTTTGAGCTCATCCTGAACAGTTTGCCGTTGAAGAGCGAACTGAACAAACTACAAAAACAACAAACGATGTCATTCAAAGCCTAGTGACGTGGCGGCAGCTGATTGGTTAAATCACCTCGTATGATTTTTCACGTGATGACATTTTCCCGCCATTGTTAAGTAACAAATTCCCGCCCGCAAAAAATACACTGTGATCTGCGAATTTTGTAAGGCAGAATATATTTTCAAAAGAAAGGAAAAGGATTTGCTAATTTTGATTTTGATTCTATTATTTTGAATGCGAATTTCTTGTACGTGCGCCTTGATAAAGATGATGTTTCTCTTTCCAATCTCGCCGAGAGGGGAGAGGTACAGGGGGGTAAATCTCCCTCCTCCCTAAACTTGGTTTAAAAATTGGCGACGGGTAACACTCGTTTCTTGAAGTTAGTCGTAAAGGAAGTTTTTGACCTTCAGCGCTTCACCTCTACACCAACATACCACACAAAGAAGGCGTAGCCACCGTGTGTCTGATGCAGTGCTGTATGTCACGCAACGCCGGAGAGAGAGGGTCCTCCCCCACATCCCTTATCATCACGCAAAAAGCCATAAAATTACCTTTTCATCGATATCTCCCTACTCGCAACATTTCATTTTCTTCTTCCTCCCTACATTTTCGCCCCGAGTTCTCCCTCCTCCTTATTCTGTTTCCCTTGCCTCCACCGAGAAGTCATAATCTTCGCTAGGAAAAATTTATCTCAGCAAATAACTGTAAAGACGCTTAAAAATAGTTTTTGTCAGTTGCTGTTAACTCATTAACCTTGTGCTCGTATAATTTTTGACATGGTGCCGGGTTCGAATCCTGCTCAGTAGCCTTTCTTTCAGGGTCGGCCAGGGTTTTTGGGTATATGGTATACAGAGGCTTTTTAAATCGGGTATACGGTATATTGCAGCTTAAAAACGGGTATTCGGTATGTCACTTTCTTTGAATTTCAGGGATAAAGTATACCTGGGTATAATTTTGGGTATATTTGGATGATTTTTGGGTATTTTGGCGAATTTTTTTTGGGTATACTGGTATACCACTACCCCCGGCCGACTCTGTTCTTTTTTCGTGCTTTCTTTCTCTTTTGTTTTTTCGTTTTTGTTTTGTTTCCTTATTTGTTTTGTTGTTGATGTTTTTTAAAAATATACCTTCCAGAGCAAAGATAGTATATTTATTGGTAAACAATCTGAATTTCCATCGTTTCCTACATTCATTCCTTTTTTATTGCAATATATTCTACAATACTAAAACAGTAGCCACATGCAATCACAAACTGCCTTTTATTATACAGGCCAAGTTTTGACTGTTGATCTTTTCTTACGGCACGCGAGGCTTGTTTTGAACTTAGTACATCTTGTCAAAGTTATTGTCGTATAAACAACTGTCTTTCGTTGGTCAGTGTAATTGCATTTTACTTAAAATGAAGGTTTTGAAATGTGTACACATCCACACTTTATTAAAGGGAGATGGGTGGTTTTAAGTATTGTTTTGTATTTTGTTGCAGGATGATAAAGGAAACCCCAAACCTGAACATGAATGGCCATCAGAGAACTACTGGAAAAGAATGTACCGTCACCTCTTTCCTGATTCATCACCTGAATCAGCGCATGAACAGGAGCAGGTTAGTCATCACTCACCTATTTTTGTGAAAGTTTATTTATTAATATTAGTAAGACTTTCAGTGTTTGTGTGAACAGTTCTATTTTTCTATCCGTCAGAGATATTCAAATACGCTCAGGAGCCTTCATTTGTAAGTCTCCATTACGGAGGATTTCCGAGTTGGTACTAATGAGTTAGGTTTTAATACAGTAAAAACCTGCGGGTAAGAACCTAGTGGCTTAATAACCTGCTGGTAGAAATCTCCTTCTTTATTACCAACAATATTAGAACCAGGTTGGCCAAACGAGATCAAGCAGGTTCTTATCTGTGGGTTACAGTTAAATTAATAAGCTTATTCATCATCTAAAAAAGAGATTGAACAGGAACAGGTTTAGTCGCCAGCTTCGTTTATTTAAGTTTATCCATCAGTCATTTGAAACTCCGGCCCCCCGACCCCCGGGACTAAGCGGGGAATTTAACATTGGTTTAGTTTAAAACACCGCTAATTTTCCTGCTCCCCGGGCCAAACAGTTTGGTAAAGACCCGTATAGCAGGGAATTAGTAAAGTGTAGTTCAAGGCTCTATTTCAACCGCTCTGTCCGATCTGGTATTCTGTATTTCTTAAAATTCACACCATCGGACCTGTTAATAGAAACTCTCGATTGCGTTCCTTCAAATTCATGAAAAATGTTACTCTGGGTGCCAGGAATTTTTTTCTTACCTAATTCCTGAGAACGGACCTCTGGAGCCAGTGTAGAAAAATGTGGTTAGATCGCTTACAAAAAAGTAACTGTCTGTATGGTATACTTGTAAAGGCAAGGGATCTTAAGCGAAATCCGAGGTGGGGGGGGATACTTCCTTCTATAAGCCATATAGGTATAGTCAACTCTCGCCTTGCGGACACCCCGATAATACAGACATCAGCTAAATTCCCCGGCAAAAACAAATAACAGACGTTTGACTTGAATAAACTCCCGCTATTACGGACTCTCGCGAATGAGGACACTAATTTGAGGTCCCTACAGTGTCCGCTATAAATTAAAGGGCCGGCTGACTGTAATTCTGACATAATTTGTGCCTAAATGTCAGGTCTGAAAACGGGTGTGGATTTTAGAGGTCAGGTCTGAAAAAAGGTGTGGAAAATGACACTTTTTGGTCTGAAATAGGGTCAGGATTTGGATAACTAGGCGGCACATCCCCACCGAGAATTACCCGGAGTACCCCTTGGGAAGCGAAACAGCTCTGTCTTTCTCCAATTTTCTAATCGTGAAAGTAATGGGAGAGGAATCGGGAAACTTAGAAAGCGCTTTTGGGATTAATTTATAGTCGTTTACGTACGAGGTGAACAAATGAGACTCAAATGAGATTTGTGAAGTCCTTGTAAGGCAACGCTCGACCAATGTGTAGGACGTTCTATACACTTTCTTTCTGTGTCTTGAGACCAGGGCAAGCTGTTTTGTGCCTTCCTGCCCTGTTTCTCTTATGTTTTAATATTATCGTTCTCTGCGGCATCATCTCTCTTCTGCCGCCATACAAAACTTTGAGAAACGAGGCTTTTCCTTTAGTCACTCATGTTAAATCCCCGCTTCCGAAAATTCGTATTACTGTTTAATCCCCGCCCATGACATGGGTAAAACAGGTATTTTGTTAATTCCCCCGCCACCGGAGCGAATATGTTAAATCATGTGCGTTAAATCCCAGCATAGGCCGCGTTAAATCCCCGCTATGCCGCTGCGGTCGGGGGGCCGGGGTTGCAGTTGACTAATGCATTATTTACTTTATTACATCCACTTTGAAATCACTGGCTATCCGTGCAATCTGATTGGCTCTCAGCAGTGTGATTTATTCCTAAATCGCACGATATTTTGCTCTAAATCGCATCTGTTCCAAATCACGTCATTCATGTTCTAAATCGCATCATTTCTGTTTTAAATCGCACCATTTTTGTTCTATATCGTATCATTTCTGTTTCGAATACAAAATGAGATGTCAAAGCCTTTTTGTTTCGGCTTTTTAACAAACCGGCTACTCGACCAATGAAATATTAGTACTGACTAAATTCTGCGATTTCAAAATGGATGTAATAAAGTGGTAATTGAACTTCGTGTCGTGCAATTTTGGTCTGAAATCATACGTGTGATTTCAAATCGAACTCGCGCTGCGCGCTCGTTAGATTTTGAAATCACGCGTATGATTTCAGACCAAATTGCACTCCACTCAGTTCAATTACCATTATTTATTTATTTTTATTTTTCTGTCCGTCAGAGATAATCAATCGTTAATTAGCGTCGTTCACTGAATGGTAGTTAATCTTGGCAGTTACGTTAAAAGGTTTTAAATTGAGAACCCGTGCATTAAGAATAGTTTTATTTTATTGTTGCAGGCTATTTTAAGAAAACTCTTGCTTTTACCTGAATCACCTGATCTCATTTCTGATTCATCATCTGAATCAGAGATGGAACTGAAACAGATTAGTTATCCACTTCTTCTATTTAAGTTTATTTACTTTATCTTTGTTCTGTTTCATCTAAGTTTTTATTTCCCTTGAACTAAACTGATTTCGGGTTCTGTTAAAAATAAACTACAGATAAAAATTGGCTGCTGTTCTCTCGCAGGTCGCACTCAGTTGATTTTAGGCCAAAAGTAGCCTGTTTCCCCACTATCTGAATGCTTGGAGCAGGCTAGCCAAAAGTGACTTTTGCCTCGGAAAAAACAGATTCCCTTTTTTTAAGTTCGGTGTTTAGGGACGATATCTCTGACATTTGTGCCAAGTAGACCCATTGATTTTTGAAAAAAGAGCTTTGTTTAACAGTTGATTGATCAACAAAGAAGTTAGAAGCAGACACCTTATCTATGAGGTAAAAAAGGAGTTCGTCTTGTTCTCGTAACTCCGATGAAGTGATCGATAACCCGCCATCTGGTAGTTCGGATGGTTACAGTGTTTTGCAGCAAGTCCAGTCACTAATATAAGGGATTCGCACCTTGTAATTATCTCACCTCTTTTGTTTATATTAAATAAGTCATTCACATTACAATCATACAGGAACTGTGGCAGATGCCGTCTCTAAAATGTCTTACAACTGCAGGCGGAAATCACGAAACATAAAAAATGATTCTTCATGTGTTCCATCACGTGACGGCACACAGGAGTTAAAACTTGAAAAAGTTGGCCCAATTTTTTCAAGTTGTAATCCAATTCCATCCTGGCCTTCAAAAGACAAAGTCTTACACTTATAGTCGAGGTATAGTAGTACGTAAAGTCATTTAAAATAGAACTGAACCGTTATTTCAGGGTTTTCTTTCATTCCAATGTCTGTTCGTTCTAAAATAAGTACTCTAGTGGGCTTACAGTTGCATATGGAAGATGGATGGTGTTTACTATAAATGTATGATTTTTGCCAGAACGAGGGAGAAGTCACTGAATCTGAAGATGGAACGTCATCATATGAATCAGAGGAGGATCAAGAACAGGTTGGTTGCTGATATTTTTTTATAAAGGTTTTATTTGAGCCGGGACTGTGCAATAATTATTAGGAGAAGGAGGTTGTAAAAAGGAAGGGGCTTTGTCCATTGCTTATTCTTCATTCACACCAACTAGACATGTTTAATTAAACTAGGTTTTGAAAATGAATTAAAAACGGCAAAAGTAAACTAGAACACAGGCTTTTACACAAAATTCAAATGAACTTTTACGCGTTACGTAATAGCACTAAATTTGCAATCGAAAAAATTACAGTAGGCAGCTTTTATAAAGATATCAAATGTAAACCGTGTTTAACTAAACACCTTTTAAACATGTTTAAGCTTTAGTGTGAATGGGGCATTAGTCTAGCTCAAGTTAAGTACAAGTCAGAGTAAAATAAATTGTATAATACTGTACAACTATGGGCATGGTTAAAATTGTAAATAGCGCGCGTTATATACTTAGTAAACAACAAGACAGTATTAAAATCCATAGGCGTACGGGCCGGGGGGGCGAGGGGGGCTGCAGCCCCCCCAAATTTTGGGCAACTCAGATTTTTTGGGCAGCAAGAGAAAATTTGGGCAAAACCAGTTTTTTAAGACGTTTCCGTGTTTTTTAAATCATTAGTTTGAAGAAAAGAATATTTTCTATTTTAACCTGAAGTTGGCGTAATAATCCAGTACTGTTACATTCACACGAGACAGTGGTTGCCTAGCACGTAATGAGTTTCTGGTTATAAGGGAAGGGTATCATGTTCTGATTTTTTTTTATTGTTGGGCACTGTACTGCAATGGGCTATTTCCAGTCATGAATTGATTAGAATAAACTTCCGCCTAACTTTCTAGAATCATCTCCACTCGTAGAACAGTGTATGGCAGATAGCATCAGCAATGGGTCTGAAAGTGAAGAAGTGGCTGACTAATTCTCAGTTTGAATTACGCGAAGAATCTTAATTTTTAAAACAAAAAAATCTATCGAGTGGTTTAAAAATTATTCACTAATTTGTTAAAGTAGACCGACATGTTTACAAAACCGCTAAAGAGAGCGCCATGATACATACTAAATACTCAAATCCTATTTTGGCCAGAGCTATCTCCATGATCTTTTACCCACGTTTTTAAAAAGATTGAAACTACTATGAGGTGAAATTGCATGTCAAAAGCGCTTCGTTTTCTACAGATAACGGCCAAACATCAAGATTTTCCTTTTTTACCGTATTTCTAACGATAAAAACTTTATCCCAAAATATCTCCACAACGCTCGTACAGATTCCGTTTTAACTTCACGAACATTGAGGCGTCTATTGGAGGAAAATGCTCCCGTGAACGATTTTGGAAGAACAGTTCCCAGTGAGAAATGTTGCTGCAAGTATAATAGGTAATGGCGTCATTTGGTTGCTATGACAACTCCGATGTTATTGCAACCCGGATCATGACAAATTTTCATCTTTATCTACTACAACTGTGGTGGCAATTTTTCCAAATGTTTGTTTATGGTGTCGTAGTCTATGCTCAAAAAAAACTTCACAGGTATTGACCCTGAAAAACTGTATCGAGCTACTTTCATATGCTAGTACAGCCTATGTTGTTGCATCGTATGGCCCTCGTTTCTGTTCGACTGTTTTGTCAAAATTTGGGCAACTTGCAATAATTTTTTGGGCAAATGGTTTACCGTCCCCCTGGCAAAAAATTGCCCGTACGCCTATGTTAAAATCCACGCGAAGTTGCATACTACAAGAGTAAAATAAGTTGTATAATACTGTACGACTATGGGCCTGGTTAAAATTGTAAATAGCGCGCGTTATTATACTTAGCAAACAACAAGACAGTATTAAAATTCACGGGAAGTTGTATCCTTAATATCATATCGGACATCTGTTGATATTTAAACGGGGTATATGTCATGGTAAGTTCCACGGTTTTTGGTCAAAGCTGTGTTGAAATTTTAACCGAGTGTCCTCAATCATTTTTATCCGGCTTGGAACTCTAAAATACATTGTGTCAAATGGAAGAGTAATTATGATCGGTTTTTGGACATATTTTGATAACAAAAGGTTGTCCCGCTACCTCAACCGATACAAGGAAGCAAAGCGTTTGCAGAAACCGTTTGCAGATGTCATTAGAAAGGCCGCACTTTCTTCTCGGTCATTTATAACGAAGGCCGTGAGTATTGGTCCGGCCGGGGTTTGAACCCGCGACCTCCCGCTCAGCAGACCGGCGCTCTCCCAACTGAGCCAACCAGGCCTTGGCTAAGATAGAGCAGTCTTACCAGCAAACTTTAGGAAACTTTTACTTAGGGTAAAAAAAGAAAAGAACTTAAGACTGACGTAAAAAAAATAGCGAATAACCGAGATAATGACTATTATACTTTGCTAAACCGGAGGAAATCTGAGCGTAATAACCAATCATCCAAGATTTCTCTAAAATATCTAACAACGGCAGGCGGAAATCACGAAACATTAAAAATGTTCATGTGATGTTCAGTCACGTGACGGCACACAAGAGTTAAACTTGAAAAATTTGGCCCAGTTTTTTCAAGCTGCAATCCGTTTCTTTCCTGGCCATCGAAAGCCAAAGACACAGACAATTAATTATAGTCGAGGTATAGTAGTAGGTAAAGTCGTTTTAAATAGAACTGAAGCACTATTTCAGGGTTTTCTTTCCTTTCTTCCAATGTGTGTTCGTTTTAAAATGAGTACGCTAGTGGGCTTACAGTCACATATAGAAGATGGATGGTGTTTAGTATCATAAAATGTATGATTTTTGCCAGAACGATGGAGATGTCATTGAAACTGAAGATGAAACGCCATCGTATGAATCAGAGGAGGATGAAGAACAGGTGGGTTACTGATATTTTTTAGAAAGGTTTTGTTTGAGCCGGGACTGTGCAATAATTATCAGGAGAAGGAGGTTGTAAAAAGGAAGGGGCTTTGTCCATTGCTTATTCCCCATTCACACCAACTAAGCATGTTAAATTAAACTAGGTTTTGAAACTGAATGAAAAACAGCAAAAGTAAACAGGCTTTTCAACCGTGTTTAACTAAACACGGCAGATCCCATCTCTAAAATGTCTGAAAACGGCAGGCGGAAATCACGAAACGTAAAAATGATTGTTCATGTAATTTTTAACGACGTGACGGCATACAGGAGTTAAACTTGAAAAAAGTTGGCCCTGTTTTCAAGTTGCAATGCATTTCCATCCTGACCGGCATTGAAAGCCAAAGACACGGACAATTATAGTCGAGGTATAGTAATACGTAAAGTCGTTTTAAATAGAACTGAAGCATTATTTCAGGCTTTTCTTTCCTTCCAATGTGTGTTTTCCCTGCCAGCAGAGGTCTCTTTTCCCTGGTATTCAGCAGGCGCCAGGAAAAGAGCCCTCTGTTAGCAGGGAAATGTGTATTTAGGGTTTTGAAATAATTCCAAACTATCGTGACATTGCGTGCCTTTTAATGGCGGTACAAAGATGATGAACCTTTCGTTTTTTCACTTTATAGGAGATACGAAACCAGACCGCCGAGTCCCAAGTCTTGTCCACTGATGAGGTAAAGCTTTCCTACGACATTGTTTTTAAACAGCGTTTAAGACAGATCCTCGCTGAAAACAGAATTTGTTAGTTGGGCTTCTACTTGCGCGAGGCTTTACGGCATCTCCGTTTGTTAATTGATGTTGATGACTTTCTGACGTGTTTTTTACTTAACATTAAAAACTAAATGCGAGGTGTCGTTTTCTGATTTGTGACAGGACTTGCGAGGGAAAGCCTTCGTGGAAAATTGTTGTAAAAGATAGATAATTAGACCTCAACCCCTGTCTTGAAATTTAATGTCGAAGTTTTGTGCCGTTGAATGTCGTTTCATGATTTATTTTGAGGCAGGACGAGAAAGAGAACCTCAAACTTGAAGATGTAGGATCGTCCGCTGGATCCGACGACCCTCAAGAAAAGTTGAGACATCACATTTTGTAGAAATTAAAAAAGATCTATTCTTTGAAGCATTTCACCACTATAATAATAAAAAAGTTTTAAAAAATTATACGAAATGGATGGTAAATAGTTTGACTGTGTGGTTTGTGGTAGAAAGAGGAAGGAATCGCCGAATCTGAAGATGAAACGTCATTACCAACATCAGAGGAAAATCAGCAGCAGGTGAGATAAAAGATTTTTTAAAGAGAAAATGGGACGTTTTCAGTGCAGGATTTTACAGTGGGACCTCGATTAAACGAACCTCTATATAACGATGTCCTCGGTATAACGAACGATTTTCTTCAGCTCAATATTACACTGAGTAAAGTGTATGGAACAGAACCTTGTAACGAAATCCGTGTTATAACGAACACTATTGCACAAGCCCAAATGCAAAATATACCTGGATATAACGAATGAATGTCAGCGTGTGATAAAAGATGAAATCCAAACAGAACAAAAAGGAAAAAATTTATGTGTACAGTAGTTTTAAGGAGTTCTGTTTGCCTGTTCTTGAGTCTCTAGTGCCGTAGCTATGTATTCAGATCCGGAAATTCGGGGTTTTGTAAATTCGATTATTAACTATACCTCGATATAACGAACATTTTAGTAGTTTTCCATAAAATTCGTTAAATGGAGGTGTTCGATATAAAACGAACCGAGCTCTCGATGTAACGAACAAATTTCCCAGGTACCTTGGCACTTCGTTAAATCGAGGTTCTATTGTGCCATAAGTGAAATCATAAAACTAATGACTTTTTGGCTGTTTCAAGGCAAGCCTGGGAAAACTGCCGACAGCCGAAGAAACGAGCGTAGAAATTCCATAGCTGATGACGCGTCACTTCCCAGATCTGGGTAGTGCTTCTGATTGGTTGAATCAAATTTCCCACGCGGCACGACCAATCAGAAGCCCTACCCAGGTCTAGGTAGTGAAGCGTCATCAGTATGGAATTTTTGCGCTGGTTTCTCAGACGTCATTTGGCGGGGAAACCAGTGGTAGTGTCGCCAAATGTCGGCTGTTTTCTCAGGCTATTTCAAGGTCATTCTCAAGTTACAGTCGAGCCAGGTCAAGCGTACCCCCATAGATATCATTAATGAATCGATTATTTGAAAAATGAATCCGTTAGTCGTTGCTGCAACCAGTATCAAATTCAAATCTCCATTCCTGCATACCTAATGAGCAAATAATTTCTACGATAAGTTCTCTGTATTCGGTCAGATTAAAAAATCTTTGAATGGATAAAATTGCTTTGAAGACATTTACATTAAAAAACTGAGCTGGTAGTAATTTTGATAACTACCGGTACCTCACATCCAAAACTATTCGCGGATAATAAACTCATTAATCTAACCTCAAGGGGTAAGCTTGTAAATACAGTAAAACCTCTCTTGACCTCAATTAACTGGAGGGACACATCATCCAGCCTCACTGGGTAGCGTAGTAAAGGTACGCGGTGTCAGGATCATTTTCTGCGAAGTATTTAGGCCGTCGAAACTAATTAAAACTAGTAATAGTTGACATTACAGCTGCTTCTGTTCTGTATATTGTCGGTCAATAGTATTCTTGCTCGTTGTTTAGCTCTTTGAAATATACCGATTCATAATGAAGATTTTCACACATATTCCATACAATAGGTGAGATAAATACAGGAAACGCAAGGTTCCATGCACAGTTTCAGCTCGATTTACACAGCTTTGATCAAAACATTCTCAGTTTCGAAAATAATTTATTCTAAACCATAAGAAGAGATTTAATTAGAAGTTGAATTTTTCGCTATTTCTCTTTCACTTTTTACATTCAGTTCATTTTATTTGCCGGAAAGTAGCCTTAAAAATTAAAAGGACGTTTGATCGATTCACGCTAGCGCAAGGACATCTGTGAGCAGGGAATAAGTCAGCACAGAATCTGATGTAATCGTGCATCGTTCTGCTAGTGATAAGCTAGCCGTTGTTCACTCGTCTTGCTTGTTTGGGGCTGAGTCTTATTCCGGTCAAAGAGAGAGAAAGAGTGTCTGGCAAGGTTTCCAATATAAATCAAATTAATGAAAAATGTTACCCTGGGTGCCAGAGGATTTTTTTCTTACCTAATTCCTGAGAACGGACCTCTGGAGCCAGTGTAGAAAAATGTGGTTAGATCGCTTACAAAAAAGTAACTGTCTGTATGGTATACTTGTAAGGGCAAGGGATCTTAAGCGAAACCAGGGGGGAGGGGTACTTTCTTATATAAGCCATTTAGGTATAGTCAACTCTCGCCTTGCGAACACCTCGATAATACGGACAGCAGCTAAATTCCCCGGCAGAAACAAATTACAGACGTTTGACTTGAATAAACTCCCACTATTACGGACTCTCGCTAATGAGGACACTAATTTGAGGTCCCTACAGTGTCCGCTATAAAGGGCCGGTTGACTGTAATTCTGACATAATTTCTGCCTAAATGTCAGGTCTGAAAGCGGGTGTGGATTTTAGAGGTCAGGTCGGAAGAAGGGTGTGGAAAATGACACTTTTTGGTCTGAAATAGGGTCAGGATTTGGAGAACTAGGCGGCACACCCCCACCGAGAATTACCCGGAGTACCCCCTGGGAAGCAAAACAGCTCTGTCTTTCTCCAATTTTCTAATCGTGAAAGTAATGGGAGAGGAATCGGGAAACTTAGAAAGCGCTTTTGGGATTAATGTATTGTCCTTTACGTACGAGGTGAACAAATGAGACTCAAATGAAATTTGTGAAGTCCTTGTAAGGCAACGCTCGACCAATGTGTCTGAGACTAGGGACACCTGTTTTGTGCCTTCCTGCCCTGTTTCTCCCATGTTTTAATATTATCATTCTCTGTGGCATCATCTCTATTCTGCCGCCATACAAAACTTTGGGAAACGAGGCTTTTCCTTTAGTCTTTCATGTTAAATACCCGCTTCTATCCCTGCTTCCAAAAATTCGTATTACTGTTTAATCCCCGCTCATGACATGGGTAAAACAGGTATTTTGTTAATTCCCCCTTCACCGGGGCGAACATGTTAAATGTGCGTTAAATCCCGGCATTGGCCGCGTTAAATCCCCGCTATCTCCCGCTATGCCGCGGGGGTCGGGGGGCTGGGGTTGCAGTTGACTAATGTATTATTTACTTTATTTAGTTTTATTTTTCTGTCCGTCAGAGATAATCAAACAAGCTTTGGAGCCTTCGTGAATTAGCGTCTTTTACTGAAGATTTCCGAGTTGGCGGTAGTTAATCTTAGCAGTTACGTTAAAAGGTTTTAAATTGAGAACCCGTGGATTAAGAATAGTTTTATTTTATTGTTGCAGGCTATTCCAAGGAACCCCTTGCTTTTACCTGAATCGCCTGATCCGTTTTCTGATTCATCATCTGAATCAGAGATGGAACTGAAGCAGGTTAGTCATCCACTTCTTTTACTTAAGTATGTTTACTTTATCTTTGTTCTGTTTCATCTACGTTTTTATTTCCCTTGAACTAAATTGATTTCGGGTTCTGTTAAAAATAAACTACAGATAAAAATTGGCTGCTGTTCCCTCGCAGGTCGCACTCAGTTGATTTTAGGCCAAAAGTAGCCTGTTTCCCCACCGTCTGAATGCTTGGAACAGGCTAGCTAAAAGTGACTTTTGCCTTGGAAAAAATAGATATTTCCCTTTTTTTAAAAGCTGCCTAGGGAAGATATCACTGACAAAAAAGTAGATCGACAAAGAAATAAGACAACTTATCTATGATGATTTAAAAAGGAAGTTCGTTTTGTTCTCGTAAACTCATTTAAACTGATTGATAACTCTCTATCTGGTTTGGATGGTTACAGTGTTTTGCAGCAAGTCCAGTCACTAATATAAGGGTTCGCACCTTGTAATTAGCTCATCTCCTTTGTTTATATTAAATAAGGCATTCACATTACAATCATATAAGATTTGTGGCAGATGCTGTCTCTAAAATGTCTTACAACAACTGTCGGCAATCACGAAACATAAAAAATGATTGTTCATGTAATATTCAATCACGTGACCGCACACAGGAGTTAAACGTGAAGAAGTTGGTCCAATTTTTTCAAGTTTCAATCCGTTTCCATCCTGGCCATCAAAACCAACGTCTTACACTTGTAGTCGAGGTATAGTAGTACGTAAAGTCATTTGAAATAGAACTGAACCATTATTGACCATTATTTCGGATCTTCTTTCCGCATTCCAATGTATGTTCGTTTTAAAATAAGTACGCTAGTGGGGTTAGAGTCACATATAGAAGATGGATGGTGTTTAGTATAAATGTATTATTTTTGCCAGAACGAGGGAGAAGTCATTGAATCTGAAGATGGAACGCCATCATATGAATCAGAGGAGGATCAAGAACAGGTGGGGTGCTGATATTTTTTTAATGAAGATTTTGTTTTAGCCGGGACTGTGCAATAATTATCAGGAGAAGGAGGTTGTAAAAAGGAAGGGGCGTTGTCCATTGCTTATTCCCCATTTACACCAACTAAACATGTTTAAATAAACTAGGTTTTGAAACTGAATGAAAAGCAGCAAAAGTAAAGTAGAACACAGGCTTTTACACAAAATTCAAAGGAACTTTTACGCGTTACGTAATTGCCCTAAATTTGCAATCGAAAAAAGTACAGTAGGCTGCTTTTATAAACGAAACAAATTTAAACCGTGTTTAACTAAACACCTTTTAAACCTGTGTAAGCTTTGGTGTGAATGGGGCATTGGTCTATCTCAAAATAAGTTGTATAATACCACAGGCGGCCCAGACGTAGTATGTGTCACTGAATGAATATATTAATATCCACATGGACAAATTAATGCGATGAGTCGTCGAAACTCCCATGGACTGAAATAGTCTAAAAGTCAAAATATAACAAAACAAAGCTAAGATACCTTCAACTGAACGTATCCTTGTCTTTCCTGGCCGGTTTAAGTGGCATTTTGTTGAGTTTTGAAATTGTAGGTACTATCCACTAAAGAAGAATTAAAGGCTGGCTACAAAACAAACAGACCATCTCCACGCGCCTTCACACGAAGCGCTATAAATTGGAGAATAATCGACGAATCTGCTCCAAATAACCATCGGCTAATCTGCAGGTAACGTGTGCTCCTGCTTCTGGCCCGCTTGCTCCACAACACCCATCGCAACTGCACAATAATTGCTCGCTCATCAACAACCACTGTTGACCTTTACGCTTCGATATGACCGCAAAC